ACCTTCAAAGTCACGAATGGCAAAACTCGCCAATCTAACTCTTCAGGTTTAAGAAGATTGAATAGGGGCAGCTGTTGTACCCCAAAATTTGCCCTCTCATTCTTCAAGGCCTTTCTCACAAGGATTCTCAAGGTTCAAGCTTGCACAAGTACTTTGGAATTTTCCAGTACCAAAATTAAAAGGAAACTGTCAAAAAAGGAGAAAACAGATAAAAATAACATTTTGACAAATTTGGAGGAAAACAGGTCTCTTTCGATTCAGCACCCTTCGATTGAATCTTGGCCTCTTTCGAATGCAACTTGGATTACATCCTTCATTTTGAACTTAAAGCCTCCTTCGAATGCCAGTTTAGGTACATCCTTCGTTTGGATTTGAAACCTCCTTCGAATGCAACTTAGGTACATCCTTCATTTGGATTTGAAACCTCCTTCGATTCAGCCTTTTGATTGGACAAGTGTGCTGCCTACATGGTTGAAATCAAAGGCCATGACATGTTGGCCACACATGCCCCCTGTAAGGAAACCTTTTCGATTCACCAAGCGTGCTGCCTGCAAAGCCTACTTCAATTTGGACAAGTTTACTTCCTACAAGCCTGCTTCGACTGGACAAGTTTGCTGCCTGCATGCTTGCTTCGTTTGGACAAGTTTCGATGGGACAAAGTAACCATCTCTATGCATCCTTCAAATCCACTTGCACCAAGGGCCTCTTGCATACTTTGCTTCATACAAGCTTCGTTTGATCCAAGAAGTATCTTCATACAAGATGTGACTAAGTTCTTGCTTCCCTTGAAAAAGCGCCCTTCAATTCAGAAGCTAGGAACTTCCCTCATGCTAAAAAGACACAAGGCAATGAATCCCTTTATGTTTGTTTCGATCCACATGCTTTGATTAGGAAACATTGCTTCCTTCGAACACAGTCTTTCGATTGGGCAATATGTTTGTTTCGATCCAAGCTTCGACAGGGCATTAGCTTCCTTCGAGTAAGTTTGTTTCGACCACAAGCTTCGACTGAGGCAAAGGCTTCCTTCGAACAAGTGCGCTTCGATCTCATTCTTGCATTTGACTCAAGACCAAATCACGTTTGCCAGGCTATGTTGCGTCCAAATCTTTACATAGTCAGAAGTTTGTATAAGGGTTTTAAACTTTGTATTTTAGATACTACTATTCTTGGTTAAAGGCTACATACTCTTTCTTTTCATAGAGAGTACTTTAGTCACAAAATTAGCTTTCAACCTGATTTTGGTCTGAGCATAAGCAAGGCCAGAAGCATAAGTCACATCTTCTGCACCCCAACTGCCAAGAGGCCCCCCACATGTACTTTCACGTTACATTATTTTATCATTTATTTGCAAGGATGGCTTTGGATAACATGTCCATTCTTTCTCTATAAATAGAGGATTTTTTTACAAAGCTAGGAGAGGATCTTTGGACCAGAGGAACGAATCTCCCAAATTTTCTCAAACACAACAAAACTCTCAAGTTCATCAACACTTGAGAAATCAAAACCCAGAATCCCAAACACTCACCTCTTTCGATTCTGAAGAACACCCCACACATAGAAGTTTGTTCAAACTCAAAGACAACCTTCTGTGACAACTCTTCGAACCAAAAGCAAACCCCCTGTGACTACTCTTCGAATTCCAGAAACATCCAGGTAGCAGTTCAAGTTCGAATCCCACATCCATTCAAGGACTGAAGCAAGGTAAGTCACTCTTACCCTTGAACCTTTCGTTTCATGGCATAGTATGTGAATAATCTTCCCTTTCATTTTAAAACATGTACATGACACTTTGGTTCTTTTCGTTTCCACCTACTTAATATGTTTTCAGAGCTAACCCCTTTCGTTTTGCTGCTTGTTTACTTAAATATGAATTAAGTATTAACTGATTGTAAGGAAATACTAGCATGGCCTTATGCCATGTTGCTGTTCAAAAAGTTCAAACGAAAGAAACAGGAGACAGGAGTATGAAACGAAGCCTTTGGTTTCCACACTGACTTCCAGGACCAGCCAGAGACACGCTCACACTGATTTCACTGGCCTAATCGAAGAAGGCAACAAGGCAGAAAGGCCCAGCCAGAGGCACACTTGCACTAAGTCCAGGCTCAGACGAAAGGCACTCCCATGCTGGTGCCAACCTCCAATCGAAGTACATGACCTGACTGGTGCCAAAGCCCAATCGAAGGCCATGACCTCACTGGTGCGAACTCCCAATCAAAGGAAGCCTAGAAATGAAAATCGAAGGCTGCTCCTGCCCAAATCGAAGGAGCCCATTTTTTCTTCTTTTTTTATCTTATTTTTTACTTTATATTCTTCTGCACTTCAATATGGTTATAATAGTGTAGGATATTTATTTGCTACATTTTTATTGCTTTATACAAATGCTAGTAAATAGGTGTGTATGGAAAGATAAAACCAACAAGTAGGAAACCCCTAATCAAGACAAAATGCATGCAAATCAATACACTATTCACACATGCACCCTTAGGGTAATCTCGCTTGTTGCCTTTGATAAAACTATCTCGTCCCTTACAAAATTGCTAGAGCGTCTCACAAGTTGCCTTCAATGATTGTATACGATGACCCACGCCTGTCCCGTTCAACATCCTAACACAAGGTTGCTCATCAAACACAATGGTGAAACAACACTGTTAAAAGGGTTAAAAACACAAGAAAGTCTTTGAGTAAAATAGGGTAGACAACTCTTAGTTACTTGATCAAAAATCTTGCAAAACATACTTGCCATTTTTCAAACACACTTCACAACACAACTTCAAAAACAATTTCCAAACAACTTTCAAAACATTGAATTATCTTTTCAAAAAGACAAACACCTTTGTATATATTCAAACAAGAATCATTACAAAGGTTGCCTAGACAAGGCATATTTTTCAAAGCATTTTCAAAACCACACACACAAAGCATCATTTTCAAACAATTGAAAAGCAAAGGCAAGTGATCTAAAACAAGTAACTAAGAGCCCATGGATAACCATGGATGAAAAGGGTGCTAGAACCTTCCCTTTTCATAATCTACCCCCTGAACCCACGAAAACATCTCAAAGGTCTTTCCTGTGCTTTTTGACCTTTCCTTAGGATAAAATAAAAAGTCGGTGGCGACTCTTGCTAAACCGAAACATTTGCAAACACAAACGCAAAACCCAAGTCAGTTCTCCCACCGTATCACACAGTGGCTACATTAGTGCGACATATTTGTGGGTACCGGTAGCCTTTGAGTCAATCAAAGAGAATACGGGGCCGCTGAGTGATGTCATGAAGCACTAATGAACTCTTAGAACCTTACTTGACCATCTTGGCTTTATTAGGGGTAGTGAGATGACCGACTTTGGTGCAGTCCGAAGTTGGTAGATACTCGATACTACACTCATTGAGGGTTGTTTTCTTGGAATATTTCGGTCGCCAGTGAAGTGGCTAAACTGAAACAATGAACACAAAAAATAATCTTGTGATATTGAGCTCCTTAGAATCCGGTTACTATTTATAGGATAGGTTGAGCCAACTAACTTCAAGAGGGTACTTACCTACAAACTCCATGCAAGCCTAAACTTAAGGACTTGTCTGCTTTGTGTGAATATGACTTTTTGTATATACACTTGCTTACTTTTGCATACTTGTACATAACATCATAACATCATACCATAGCATTTTCAATAACCATTTCAAGGACCTAGAGGGTCTTTTGATGGAGGGTCACGTTGAACCAGACGTCTACCAAAGGGCAAGAGGATTCATTTTTCTCTAAACAAGCATCGTTAAAGATCAAGTACAACAAATTGAATCAAGAGCTATGACCCACTTGACATGGTGAGCTTGATTCTCTGGGAAAGACATCCACCGATACAAAGTTTTCCAATCAAAGATGTTGATCAAAGTTCAACCTCTAACATTTTCTTGTGTTTACCCCGCGAGATCCTTGAGAACATGCATCCACCTATCATGCATCGTATCATGACAGGTTTTCTCCCTTACAGGTCTCCTTATCTTCCTACTGTTTATTTCAGTAGAGATGGCTCTAGAGAGGACTGTCAAAGATATCCAGGCTCAAAATGCTCAACTTCAAGAAATGTTCTTGAACCTGTCCAAGGGGCAGGAAGAAGTGAAAGCTCTCCTAACAAGGGGCATGATCCTAGGGAATCCAGGGGGCATCAGGAATGATCAGTTGGAAGGGCTACAGATTGAGGTGGCAACAATGAAAATCCAAATGATGGGACAACTGGTGGGCCAGATGGCTCTTATTCAAAACTTGGCTCAATGACAAGAAGAGCTAAAGGTCCTCATCAACAAACTGCACCAGGATGGATGTAACCAAATTGGGAAAACAACTAGGGTTGAAGATCAAGTCATCATTCAGCCTCCTTTGAGACAAGAAGTCAAGGGAAAGTCTCCCCAGTTTGCTTCAGGGTCACAAGCCCAACAACAACCTCACCAACATCAACAGGGTAATCGGTGTAAGCGAAATACATCGGAAAATAACTTCACCGAGATTAACATGCCATTATCCTAAGTGCTGCAACGCTTGTTGGAAGTCTAGTTGATTGTACTAAGGGACCCCCCTCGGCATCCCAACACAGTCGCTCCTGGGTACAATCCAAATGCGAGATGTGCGTATCATTCCAACAGTCCTGGACATGACACCGATGGTTGTTGGACATTGAGAAACAAAATTCAAGATCTCGTTAAAGAAACAGTGTTGGAATTCACACAGGATGGCCAGATGAAAATATTTCGCTGAGGGTTCTCCACGTTAAGTGACAAGTTCAGACAAAGAGGCTTCTGCTCATTTGAATTTTCGAGTTGTAATTTCTTTTATTATTCAAACAATTATCTATTAATGTCAAACTCTGTTTCATTAATGCATTGCATATGTTTGTCTTGAATTCATCCATTCGTTTTCACTATTCTTGAACTATGCTTTCTACTTTCTTGATGATATTTAACTCTTGCTAAAAGTTACAAGCCTTTAGAGGGAGGATGACGAAAACAATGCCACAATCTCATACAGTATGCTTTTGGACAGACCTTGCTGACGATGTACATGCGTTTCTTTCAAATCCTGAACACCAGAGTTATAAGGAAGATAATTCCTAGTCAACCCCTTCGAGCCAAAGAAGTAGAAGTTTTCTGTTTAAATGCAAATTGAAACCTTTAATCAAACCTGGGGCAGGGTAGTCTCTCAGTTAATTCAAAATGCGCGTTTAGCCGCAAACTCTCAGTTCGTAAAACAACGAATGACATAAAAAAAAGAGGGCATTCCTTTGGAATCAAAAGTCAGTGATGGTTCCTTATCTCATAGGCAGTCATTATATCTCAAAAAAGAAAAGCCCACTGAGTCAAAACCTACAAAGGAGGCTTAGGAAAGCTGGGGCATCCCGCTGACTCTAAATCTCAAAAACAGGAACAGTCAGGCAAAAATTAGGGATAACAAATCAAAAGAAAGAGGTCACTACAAATCCTCAACAACATGAAAAATGTTGCAAAAAATGACTGCCTTCCAACAAATTCAACTTGTGTGAACCATCACCAAAAACGTCGTTCCAGACTCATTTGGAGTACAAATGCACAATTAACTGAGTTTAGGATTGAAGTTCATCACAAAGAGCGGGTGGGTACAAATATACTTTGATCCTTTATCCGTTGTTTATTAAACCGTGAACCAAGCCATGTCACAACCCTTCAAAAGTCCTAATTCAAGCATGGGTTAGTTCGAAAGCATATTGTTACAAAAGGTATCCTGACTCCTATAAGGCTTTGCTCTAAATCTTGTGTTGAATTTGTCTTACAAAAGTTTTCTGCTAAAAAACGCATTTTCTAAAATTTCAAGACAAGCATAAACTTTGCATTATTTGAATATCATCGTTTGCATAGGGGTATTTGTTTGACAACGAAGAAATTCATACAATGAATGTTCCGATGAACGAAAGCTCTCTCAGTGAACAAAAGCACTTTAAGTGGGATGACACTTCCTTTGCAAAAGAAAATCTCCTATCAACAAAGGGGACCTGACATGGCATTGTCCAGTTAACCTGGGGCAGTCCAGTCAAGATTTCAAGAAATCTCTCACTGTCCAATAAACCTGGGGCAGTCCAGTCAAGATTTCAAGAAATCTCTCAAGAGCACTGTAACCTGGGGCAAGTCTCCATCTCCATCACTTGGGGCATTAAACGTCAATCTCATCAAAGAGTTGCGTACAATCCAAATTTCCTGGCAGTGCCATAAACATTTGATACTAGGGGCAATGACGAATCTCTCCAAAATCCTTCTGAAAAGAAATTCAAGAATCCTCGAGAAGTTCATCACCTCTCTAGCAGACTAGCGGTCATGGGTTTATTTCCCCAACACTTGTCAAGGATTTATTCTCCAAAACAAAATTACATTTCAACAACATTCATAACATATGCAGATTGATCGGCAGGTAAAGATTCCTTCATTACCTTTTGGAGTAGCAGTCATCAAAGATTCCTTCATCATCCGGTTGAGTCAAACTTAATTCAAGACCTTCTCTAGTTCAATCAGATCGACACTAAGATCTCCCTGATTCTTATTCCAGTGGAAGATATTCCGAATTTCGCTGTTTCAGATAAATCTCTCAACGATTTATTTTGATTCACTTCCAAAATTTTCACTATCAGAGACGAAGAATCCAACTTTTTTCTCCATCACAAGTTTGGGATTTATTTTCCCCAGCGAGAGGAAAGATGCAATCAAATTCTCACAAAGTTCAAGCTATGAAGCCCGAATATGACCAGATAGTATCTTGATTACTCCATCTTATTGTGAAGCCTGGATTACGACCAGATAGCAATGCAAGTCTCTGTGAAGCCTGGATTACGACCAGATAGCAGCCAAGAATACTATGAAGCCTGGAGTTGACCAGATAGTGGTATATCTTTAACACAAGCCGTGAAGCTAGGATTCGATCGGATAATAGCTCAACAAGTTATTGTGAAGCCTGGATTACGACCAGATAACAATGCAAGTTTCTGTGAAGCCTAGATTACGACCAGATAGCAGCCAAGAATACTACGAAGCCTGGAGTCGACCAGATAATGGTATATCTTTAACACAAGCCGTGAATCCCGGATTCAACCGGATAACAGCTCATCAAGTTATTGTGAAGCCCGGATTACGACCAGATAGCAATGCAAGTTTCTTTAAAGCCTGGATTACGACCAGATAGCAGCCAAGAATACTACGAAGCCTCACTACAAGAAAATTAGTGTTTAACGACACAAAAATTGCGACAGTTATGTGATAACTGTCGTAATTGACATATAGAGACAGTGTTTACGACAGTTGACACCAACCTTCCCTAATATTTATTTTGCGATGGTATAATTAACCATCATAATATTATTATTACGACGGTAAAACAACCGTCGGCCCCCATTTAACACTTTTAACATTGATTTTTCACCAACAACTAGTCACGACGGTAAAATTAACCGTCCTAAAAGGCATATCACGACGGTAAAGCACCCGTCGCACCCTTAAACCTTTCACGACGCTAAAATTATCCGTCCTAAAATTCATTTCACGACGGTAAAACAACCGTCACACCCAAAACCTTTAAAAATTCTCATGGGCACGACGGTAAAACACCCGTCGCCGTAAAAAAGTTAAAAAGCTCTTAAAATACATAAAACATCAATTCACTTTCTACTCCTGCGTTCACTTTTTCTACTCACGAAGAAAATACAAGAATTCTCGACCTAAGGTTCGTGTGGGTCTTCCATAGAAGAACCCTAAAGTTTTGAAACCCGCTTTCACCATTCCTCCCAAACTGTTACAATCCCTTGTAGAAGACCCTAAATGGGATGAAAAAGGCAGCGTCACACAAAACTACAATTCCTTCGGAGTCGTCAATGACCCTAACTCCCTCACTGATTCTCTTCGAGCTCCTCCTTCTGTCTCCGATGACCCCAACGATTCCGGCAGTGACCTCGAAGAAGACGGTATTTTCGTGTATTTTAGTATCAGAAATTGTTTATATTTTTTTGAAATGCATGTAAATTTTATGAATTTGTGGTGTAGATATGAATTTTATGAATTTATGTGTTTGCTACTCCATTTCTGAAACTCATAGGACAACCTCATGAGGTGGCGGAATCGAGTGGTATCATATCTATATGGCTTATACCTTTGCATTTCAGTTTTGCGTTTCAGTTTCCTCTTCAGAGGTTTCTACAGTGCCAGCTGAAAACATGTGTGATTGCATGGGTTTCTCTTCTGGGTTTAGTGGTGGATGTTGTATTGAGTTGGTTGTTGGTTTATGTTTGGGATTTTGGGCTTATTGGTGCTGCAATAGCTTTGGATGTTTCATGGCGGGTATTGGTAATTGGGATGTTTGGGTACACAGTTTGTGGGGGTTGTCCTTTGACTTGGAATGGTTTTTCAATGGAAGCATTTTCTGGCCTTTGGGAATTCTTCAAACTGTCATTAGCTTCAGGGGTGATGCTTTGTTTAGAGAATTGGTATTACAGGATACTGCTGCTTATGACAGGTCAGTTGGAAAATGCAACAGTTGCTGTTGATGCATTGTCTGTATGGTAAGTTATTAGTGAGTAACAAGTATTTGAGATTTACAAGTTTTATATTTATTAGTTATTACAGTATTGGAATTGGTTTTGCAGTATGACTATCAATGGATGGGAAATGATGATTCCATTTGCCTTCTTTGCCGGTACCGGGTATGCTTTTTTACAATATCATTTGCATCGAAATTGAAGTAAAATTATAGAACAGAATTGATTCTTCATTTCACCTCTCGTATGAGAAGAAAATGGAGAAAACACTAAATTTTTTCTACCATTATCCTTTTTAAATATTTCATAAATTATTAATATTTAACACTTTTCAACTGTACGTATATATCTCTTTAATCGAAAAACATTCACTTTATATTAAAATTAATAATTTTTTAGTTTGAAAAAAAAACATTTAAGATTGATATTTTCTTAGAGTAACAACAATACTGAAGCATAGTGGATTATCCATATGTGATTGGTTGATGGCGTGTAAGGTATTCTACTAGCGAAGAGTGAAAAATTAAATGTTTAACATAATTTATTCTAGTGAAATTTATCAAATGATGACACAAATTATATTATAGGGTGCGAGTGGCGAACAAACTTGGAGCAGGAAAATGGAAGTCAGCAAAATTCGCAATGCAAGTATCACTCGTACAATCAACAGTGATTGGATTAATCTTTTGTTTTCTTATAGTGATATTCAAAAGAGAGTTTGCATATATTTTCACCTCGAGCACTCATGTTCTTCAAACTGTTAATGATATGTCAATTCTCTTGGGAGTCAGCATTGTTCTCAATAGTGTTCAACCTGTTCTATCAGGTAAAAAAGACCGATCAACTTCATTCAAAAAGTAATTATGGTTAATGCTTAATTATAAAAATGCATGCATTCTTGTAGGTGTAGCTGTTGGTTCGGGATGGCAAGTATTTGTGGCATACGTAAATATTAGATGCTACTATCTAATCGGCACTTGGAATTTTATAAAAGTGCACTTCCTCAACCTTTGACTTCGATTCAGCGTCTTTATATTAGTCGGCTAGTTGAGAAATATGGAGCTGATTTTCAGGTTTGATCTGTTGTCATGTTAATTTCAATTGAAGATATATTAACATTGTAAAGTGAAAATGTTGCTGTTAGGAGGCTGTTTAATGTTTTGTTGTTATTATGGCAGAGAATGATGATGGATATAAAGCTAAATCCTATACAGCATTCTGTTGCAACTTTAGAGAAATTGTGTATGAGCTATTACATTTACAAGAACAAGAATCCTCTTATTGTTGGAAGATGAAGTACTTTGCATATGAACAAGTGTAGTGCTGTCGAAGATTACAAACTTCTGGTTGTGAGTTGTGATGGTTGATCCATGAATGGGCAAAATGTTGTTACAATGAAGATTTTGGTTGTTTTGACACTTTGGATGTTGCTCGGGTAATATTGTTATAAAATTTTGTTGATGCTTTTTAATTTTGTATGGATTTTTGTTCGGGAAGATTAAGCATTATGGTCTTCTTGCCTGTTGCCAAAACAACGCTTTAGTATATGAAAGTAATTTTGGATGGAATGGGTTTAAAACTGTGTAGGTAGTTTGTTTTTGGGCTATGTATCACTTTTGTTGGGGAACATGAATCAATTCTGGTTAAAGTAGCCAGCTTTTGCCAAAAACAGTTAAATAAGATGGCAGTAATTTTGAATGGAATGTGTTTGGAACTGTTAAGGTAATTTATGATCATATACATGTTTGGCTAAACGCATTTTGCTGTCCTTTAACTTAGATGCTTTTCATGTTTGGCTAAATACATTTTGCTGTCCTTTAACTTAGATGCTTGTTATAAGTTAATTTCTAAGTTTGTTTTGGTAACAAATCAGTCTTATGTGCACATCGTTAGCCTTTTAACCACAATATATGTCTCTTAAAGATTTGATGTGGCACGTATGTTCCGTTTTTAACGTATTCTTCGTGGATAATTTTATATTATGAAGTTAGTGTTCACTTATGGAATGAAAGAGTAATGAGAAATTTGATCATTTATGAAAGAGAAATGAGAAATTTGAGAAAATTAGAAAAATTGAAATTAATTTAAGGTTAAAGTATCTATAAATAATTTAAATTTTTTACATAGTTGAGTTATGAAATTAATTTGTTTACTTTTTCTGCTATGTTGCAGGATCAGAGGCAATGTTTGCAGGGTTAGGCCATTTTTCTAAGAAATCAATCAAGGTATTGTAATGCATATAACTTGATATGCAATTCTTGTATATTTGATTGTAATTGAAAATTATTAGTAACAAACAACTTGTGCATCATGCTTGGGTCTGTTGTTTGTAGATTACATTTATTTGCTTGATATATCCGCTTCTTGTGATATGTTATGCGGGCCAGGCTGCATTTATCTCAAAATTTGGAGACTGGTAATTTTAATCATCTTAGTCGATCTGTGCCAAGTAAGTTCATCAAGACCAATATACTTTGAGTACTCCTATGGTATACACAAGATATACCATGTATTATATTCATTTAACATGCTAATAGTAAAAACTTCCTCTTATAATTATTGCATTTACCCATGCGGTTTCATTCAATCGTGGAGTGTCTGTGAAGATTACTGTTGAATGCTTCCAACTTTGAGATTACTGCTAAAATTATTGTGGTTTGTGGGGTTGGAAAGCATAGAAGTGAAAAAGGGGAATCATCAATTAAAGCATTGGGTCAGAAGATGTTGATGGAGATGAAAAGTCCACTCAGGATTGATAAAAGGAAGATGGATGCTTTGTTGGTAAAGGTAAAGCTGTTAAAATCTGGTTATGTGAATTGAGGAAGCCATGATTTTGCTTCTATATATGATGATAGTGATAAAATTGACTGTATATGTTTGTGTTGCCAATAAATATCTATATTCCTCAAGCCCAATTCATATATCATCTGTTCATGAAGGTTTTTGCAATCATTTTCTAATTATGTATGTCAACAGCTTACCCTACTTTAGTTCCTTGCTATAGATAAGAGTTGTATATTTGCTTGATTTTTTTATTTTACTATCAACAAAGTAATTTCTATGCCATTTCTGAGTACCAATAAATCCAATGTCATATGTGAACTCATTACACTTCCAATTTTTAATAATAGGCGACAATCAAATAATCAGTTGTCAAGAACATGATGAAAGCCCTATACTTTCAGTTCACCGTCGGAGTTCTACCATTATATTTGGTTACATTCACAGGTACTGCCAGTTCATCAGTCATCGTATACATTTGTTCTGAGCTTCATCAACATGTTTTCGATGTTACAAACCTATTACAAACATGTTATGTTACAAACCAATTCCTTTGTATTTACTTTTACACATAATACGTAGATCTATAACTGGTTTGCTCTATGTTTGAAGTCATTTTGTTTGTAGATGTTGTTTGAAGTAATTTTGTTTGCAAAAAAGCTAACTTTTCTATGTTCGAAGTCATTCATGTCTTGTATCCTAAAATATTTTGTTTTATTCATAAGGTATATTGTTTGTTTTAGCGGAAGTTGTCAAACAACATCTATGTCGATCGTTTCCAGATCGACATCTTCTTCTGCAGAAAGTGAACAAATAAAGGAAATGCAAGAATAAATTAATGCACTTAAAGAAAAGAATTCAAAAATTGATGAATTAACACATGCAATCATATTCTTAACACAAAGGGACAAGGCGAGGACAAAGGAAATTGAACTCTTAATGCAAACGCAGAATTTTAGTGGAAGACAGGTATATTATTTTGACGCATTTAAAGTTAAATTTTATGAGTATTATTTTAAAGATTATTATTTTAATACCTTTTTTTAGGAATTGGAATCACCCGCTGATGGTAGACGTTCATCTGAGTCTAGCTACCGTATTGGAGATAATGGAACTTCAGGGGGGACAATTAGACTTTGCTATGATCGAGATAATTAGATTGTGAACTTTCTCATGTATTTTTGGCATAATGATACTTATTATTATAAAATTAGGAATTGATATATTTTGGGTTTTTTGTACTACTTGACATGATTATGGAACTCGCATTTTACATGATTATGGAACACACATTTTTTTGGATATTATAATGCTTATTTGATGTTAAATATTTTTTATTGAAATTATTTTTACTATATTACAAAGTGATAGAAAATAAAACAAAAAATAATACTATAAATAAATATATTAAAGAAAAAATAACACAAAAAAAAACTATATTTAAAATTTTTTACATAGATAATAATTTAAATAAAAAATATATATAATAGAAAAAAAAATCAAGACATAAACAAAAGTCATGGCGACAGTACCGAACCGTTGTAATCAACAATTAAAAATAATCAACAAAAGTCATGACGGTATCGAACCGTCGCCATAAACAATTTAATCAATTTCAAAAGATATTCACGACAGTATCGAACCGTCGCCATCAATAATTAAAAGAAACTCAAAAGATAGTCACGACGGTATCAAACAATCACCAATACTTGATTATGTCAGCTCCAAACCCGTCGTAAACTTGAACGACAGTTTTTGTAACCGTCGCGAAATAGGTTGGGGACACACACTTCTGCGACGGTAAAGCAACCGTCGTGGAAAGCAAATTACGACGGTTTTAACCGTCGTAATCTATAAAAATACCTGTCGCAATCTGCCAATTTTCTTGTAGTGCCTGGAGTCGACCAGATAACGGTATATCTTTAACACAAGCCGTGAAACCCGGATTCGACCGGATAACAACTAAGCAAGTTATTGTGAAGCCTGGATTATGACCAGATAGCAATGCAAGTTTCTGTGAAGCCTGGATTACGACCAGATAGCAGCCAAGAATACTACGAAGCCTGGAGTCGACCAGATAGTGGTATATCTTTAATACAAGTTATGAAGCTCAGATTCGACCGGATAATATCTTGATATCTCCGAATGCCATGAAGCCTGGATTCGACCAGATAATGGTATGATACATCGTGAGGCCTGGATTACGACCAGATAGTGGTAAAGACACTGAAGCCTGGGTTACGACCGGATAACAGTAAGGTATACTGGGAAACTTGGATGTTGACCAAATAACAGTTTACTCGGCCAATTACTGTAAAGCCTGGAGATCAACCAGATAACAGTTAACCATTAACAGAATAAAGATCCCCATTCTTAAAACCTCGGAAGATTGGTATACTCCCAACCTCCTGATACCGTTAACAGAATGAAGATTCTCATCCTTAAAACCTCAGAAGATTGGCATACTCCCAAGCTCCTGATACCCTTAACAGAATGAAGATTCTCATTCTTGCTTCCCTGGTAGATTGGCATACTCCCAACCTCCTGACCCAAACACCTGAATGAAGATTCTCATTCTTGCTTCCCCAGTAGATTGGCATACACCGAAGCTCCTGATATTCCCGACAGAATGAAGATTCTCATTCTCAAAGTGGTATACAACCCGAATTCCTGATATTCCTGACAGAATGAAGATTCTCATTCTCAAAGTGGTATACAACTCAAGCTCCTGATATTCTCGACAGAATGAAGATTCTCATTCTCAAAGTGGCATACAACCTGAATTCCTGATATTCCCGACAGAATGAAGATTCTCATTCCCAAAGTGGCACACACCCTAATTCTTGATATTCCCGACAGAATGAAGATTCTCATTCTCAAAGTGGCATACAACTTGAATTCCTGATATTCTCGACAGAATGAAGATTCTCATTCCCAAAGTGGCACACACCATAGCTCCTAATATTCCAAACAGAATGAAGATTCTCATTCCTAAAGTGGCATATAACCCGAGTTCCCGATATTCCTAACAAAATGAAGATTCTCATTCTCAAAGTGGCATACAACCTAAACTCCTGAATTTCTTCCAAAGAGGAAAAAGCTTTTCCCAGAGTCCTGAGCTTACTCTCCAACAGGATAGCTACTCCAATAACAGTATAGCTATTCCCCACAGATTTTTTACTCCCCGACAGAATGAAGATTCTCATCCTTGATTCTCCAGTGAAGTTGCCAGAGCCTTCTTTACTCTCAGCATAAATTTGTCAGAGTTTTTAATCCCCTGCAGATCGAAGATTCTGGTTCTTGGCTGCTCAGCACAAATTCCCCTAGCAGAATGAAGATTCTCATTCTCAATTCCCCACAGAGTTTTGAAATATTCCCCAGCGGAGTTCTCCTCAAACAACAAAACAGGAATCCCCAGTATATTGGCATACAACCCAAACTCCTAATTTCCCCAGCAGTATAGCTTTTCCCCACAGAGGTTGTCAAAAAGCTTGAAGACACACATACTCTTCAA